TAGCAGCACTGAGGGTCCAGTTGAGAATTTATAACATAAATCTGTAGTGGACCCAGTCAGAACAGTTGCATGGTTTACTTTACCTTTGTTCAGCAGAAAGTATGTAGGAGCAAAGGCAGATGATGGGACTCCGTGAGCCAAGCTGAGTCTTGACAGGGTACAATCGGCAATATATAAGGGGGCAAAGGACTCAGGAAGACAGAATTGAAATGGTTCACTAAGAGGTCAAAATGGGGGGAAGGAGAATGTCGTTTGTGTAGAAGTGATGCCTGGGAAGAGAAATGAAGGGTCAAGGGACTGGAGATCATGGTGTGAGCTTTTGGTATTAGAAGGCACAAAAAGAGGTTGAAAGTCAATATATTATGATCAGATAACAGAATTTCAGAGGTTCACAAATATGGAAGTGGTACATTCGTGGGTGATGGCAAATTCAAGGGCAATATGTCCATCTCTGTGTGTGGCTAACATGGGGCAGAGGTCATGGAAAATGAGTAAGTTGAGGAACTGAGGGTTGGGTATTTGAGGGAGTATCATTATGTACATACATAGACCCATTTAGATTACATCTTAAAGGGGCATAGGGAAGCTCCTAGTTTCCAAGATAATGATTACTAAGAAAAATCATTTTTCATACTATCAACAAGCATTAAAGTATCTACTATGTGCCAGGCACTGTGTAAAAACCCCAGGGATACAATGACCAAAAAACATATGTATGATATGAAGACAGGAATTGAAGCAAAGAGAAAGATTATCAACAAGGCATTGGACTCATAGAAAAAAAGGAGCGCTCTGGAAGACGGTAGACAAGAGTTACCAGAATTTTGATTGAATGGTAGATGTGGAATTGCATGAACCCCAGAGAAAAGATTACTGAATGACGGTGGTAAAGGACCTGGAAATAGCAAAGGGGAGCAAGAAAAATTCTCATTTTGCCCCCCCATCACCACTTTTAATCAGGAGGAATGAAAGTACAGTCAGAGATGAACAGGAAATTCAGCAAGATTATGTCATCAGTGAGAAACAGAATATCGAAGGAATGGGTATGGAAAAGATTTAAGATGAAAGTGTGTTACCTATGAAGCTAGTGTTCCAGACAGAGAAGGGAAAGAGTAAGTAGCTTTAGAATGGTGTACTGGGGTTGGGGGCTGGGTTCAAGGAATGAAAATAAGGAATAAGGGAGTGGGAGACAACATATCAGGGTCTGAATGATAATAGATGTTTAAAATCACTGGAAAGGAGACAGGATTACTAAGGAGGAGCTAATTAAGGAATGACTGACTAGTTTTTCAATTCCTGTCCAGAAGTAGCTTATATGGGGTTAGGCAGAGCTACAGGGAAAGGCATGGAGGGAACAACATGTGCATATATAAGTAAATACAAAATATTTGTAGAATAATTTACAGACAAAGGTGTAATATGAAAGTCTGAAAAGGGCTTTCCTCATATCTTCCATAAACCCCCCCAAAAAAACCCAATTTTGAACCAAAGTCAGCTCTAAGAAAGAGACAAACAAAATTGGGGTGTGTGTGTTCAGTTTAATTTTCTCTCGAGGTGGCACTGATGTGGTCTAGAGGCTAGGGGTCCTGGAACCCCAAAATGACAGCCAGATCCTGCCTGAAAGAATTCAACCCAAGCCTTCTTGCAGCCAAAAACAAGGTTTATTGAAGATTCGCCATATTAGCTAGACTCTTAAGGAATCTTGAGCATCTATTGGCTATTGGCTAGATTCTAAGAATCAGAGCATCTTAATAGAGACAACATGGACCTTATATACAGAAAGATTGTGGGAGGGGGATCTAGGAGTGGCCAAGTAGTTTGGGGTGACAAGAGGAAGGGCGTACGGAGATCTGGATGGGAGTGGCTAGTAAACTGGGGTGAACAGAACTCCTGGGACCTGGACCTCATGGCCAAGGGAGAATGGAGTCTAGCTAGGATTAAGGGTGGGAAATGGGGGGGGGTGGTGCAGTGGCCATAGGGAGGTAAGAAAATGGAGGGGAGATTGGGTGTAGCCACAATGAAAGGCCAATTGATGGGATTATAGCCTCAGGGGAACACCAGAGATTTGGCCATGTGGGAAAGTCCAGGGTTTTTCCTTTCTGGGGCCCAGATCCCAATGCCATCATTATGACAAGCATTACATGGGAGTTCAGTCCAAAACTAGTCCCCCCCCACCAGGGAGTCAGTTCAGAACTGGCTCAAATTGGGATTTTGGGGGTACAGCCTTATATGCCCTTTGAAGAGTAGGTATTCCCAAGGGATGCCAATCAACTCTGGGAGGTGGCCCATATTAAAATGAGGGTCTTGCAGTAGGAGACCCCAGTCACTCAATCCAGGTCATAGAGACAGCAATTTCCGTATCACCTGTCTTGACAATAGGATGGAATCAACATTTTTCCAGACCTGTCTAGGCAACATAAGGAGCAGGAATAGACCCATTTAGATTACATCTTAAAGGGGCACAGGGAAGCTCTTAGTTTCCAAGATAATGATTACTAAGAAAAATCATTTTTCATACTATCAACAAGCATTAAAGTACCTACTATGTGCCAGGCACTGTGTAAAAACCCTATACAATAACCAAAAAACAAAAAAAATCCATGCCCTCATAAGAACTCACATTCTGTTGAGGAAGACATTATATATGTATATGTATATAAATATATGCATGCGCACACACATATACACACAAAATAAATATTATATATGGGGTAGAAGAAGCACTAGGAACTCAGTTGAATTAGGAAAGGTTTCATAGAGAAAGGATGGCTTGGAAGATGTTAATATTGATACTGCTGTTTTACTGATGGGTAAACTAAGTATTTAAGCCTTTTAACCAGGGTCACATAGGCAATCTTCAAACCCAGGTTCCAGGTCTAATGACCTCCCAACTGCTAAAACAACCTTTTGTGATAGAATTTGGTATGAAAGAGGGCTGTTAATTTGTTGACTCTTTAAAATCTAAAATAAAGTTAACATTCCTGAGACAAGTCAACACTTATTAATACCCCTAAATGGTGCTCCAAAATATAAAGCAAAAACAGATTAAAAAAAAAAAGAAATTATTTTGGAAGTGTGGCATTTTAAAAGGTTTGAGAGACATAATTTCTGGGTAGACTAAGTTACCCATTATTAATAATGCCAGTATTATAAAAAGATGGCCATATAGCCATCTCTTTTAGACCAAAGACAATCCTGGCTGTGGCTTAAGGCTTATATATTCTTTTGGAAGAGTGTTCAACAGTATGGCAATCAACTCTGGCTAACAATTAATGAGAGGTGTGGGGCAGAGAGTGACATCAAGTCACCTTAGTACAGACTATCTCTATAACTAGACCACCCCCAGCCTTGGGCAATTTAGACAAAAGAGTCTGTCTCCACCCAAGCTTTACTGAAATGAATTAACCTTAGACTAGCCCTTTCAAGTAAAGCTGGGTGGGACTGGATAGAGGAGAAGGTTAATTCAACCTTCAGAGACTGAGGTCTTGAAATGATAGAGAAAGGAGAACTCAATTTCCCAAATCATAAGTTATTAATAATCATTTCTCACACTTATGTTAATACACATTTTAACATCCAGAAATTAGAACATTTCATTAAAAAAGATTTAACAAATAGTCACCAATTGCATAAAATGTTTACTCATTTGACTATGAGGAAACATTTATAAAGCATTTATCAACAAAGTAACTTTTATATTATACCTCTTTTCTTGCTCCAAGGAAAATTAAATAATAATTCACTTAACAGATGAAGAAACTAAATTACAGAAAAGTCCAGTGATGGTTTCTAAGATTCCAGGCAGATTACAAAGAAAATAGACAACTTAGGCCTACTAGTGTGACATACTAAATGATTTTGCCAGTAGCTCTAAATGTCTCAGTCCTCTTTTAATGGTTTGCCTAAACGCCTTAAAGAGTTATTTTCCTTTGATACTACCATCTGATAAAGAACATAAATGCATAGGATTCATCATAAATATTTTAAGAGTTGTAACTGCATTTCAACTTGAGAAAGGTACAAAGGAGGAAAAAAAGTCCACTTTCCAGACATACAAAGAAAAATGTTTCTCAATATAGACAATAAAAAACATGTATTTAGAGCTGTTTAAGATATTCCCTTGCATGAGGTGGACAACCACAAAGTCTTAATAGACAAGTACTCTCTCCTAAATTACTCCCTAAGGCCAACAAATATTCCTATCTGAAAGTTTCTGGCATTTGTGCTTATAATAGGAGCACCACGTACTACAGCAAAAATCAAATGGCTAATTAAGACCCACTCTAGATATTTTACTAAAACTAATCTCCTTGAGCCAATAGCCAGATTTATGAAATAACTTAAAAAAAATACAAATATACAACAATAGCATTTCCCTAACTTAATTATTCCCAAGAATCCCTTGAAACTTTGCTTGACTTTTTGATATTTACAACCTACAAACCTAATCTCTAGGTAATCCCCACAATTCAATTCCTCCTCTATTTCTAGGGCTTCTGAATACTTCTGAATAAAGTCATCTCAACTACTACAAATTATGATACCTACCTCAACTATACCCTGAAAGAACATTGTACTCAGTGGAGAGATTGATGGATTTGGGAGTTTTTAAGACCTGGGTTCCAACCCCACTTCAGACACTTAATAGTTGTGTAACCATAAGGAACCTCTCTGAATTTCAGTTTCCATATATGTAAAATGGAAATAATACTACCTGTAGTACCTTCCTCAAAGAGTTTTTATGAGGCTCAAATGAAATCACATATAAAAGCTATGCAAACCTTTTATACGTGTGTATGTGCATGCAAATTATACCCATGCCCAGCCTGCCCCCTCAAATCCTCTACCATCATGTTAATAGGTAATAAGCTATAGAATCTAAATTGTAGTCTTAAAAAAACAAAAGTTCCTTCAATGGGGGGAAAAACCCTATTTCTCACAAGTATTAGAAGACCATTATTGCAAATTAACACAAACTTCTCCCTAATGTCAGCACTTACTAAAGTAAGCTCTTTAGTTCTTGCTTTTCTTCTTATTAGTTCCCCTGGAGAACTGCTGTGTCAAGTTTCTTTTGATATCTTCCACAACAGCAAGCAAGCTCCTAAAGGAAATGAGATGACTTTCATCCCCGTGTTTTTATCTCTCCCACCTCAGCGCCCTGCCTCCTAGCTCCTCCTCCCAGAGCTTCTGCTCTGACCTGAATGGTGGCCCCTCCTCCAATACTGAGACAGCTTTCTTGTTATTCTTCCCCTCAGTGTCTCCGACCATGGCACCCCGAATCCTCCTGCTCCTATTACTTACAGTTTCTAGCTCTGGCCCAGGCTTTCTTGCTTCTTTCTCCCCCTCAGCTCTCTGCCTTCTCCTACTTCTCTGCTCCTCTCTTTCAGCTTTGGCTCTTAACCCTTCTTCAGAAGATTCCCTTCAGGATGGCTAAACAAGTTGTGGTGTATGAATGTAATGGAATACTATTGTGCTGTAAGAAATGATGAGCAGGCAGACTTCAGAAAAACCGGGAAAGACTTATATGAACTGATGCTAAATGAAGTGAGCTGAACCAGGAGAACATTGTACACAGTAACAGCCACACCATATGATGACTTTGATAGACGTATCTCTTCTTAGCAATGCAAGGATCTAAGACAACTCCAAAAGACTCATGATGGAAAATGCTATCTACATCTAAAAAAAAGAACCATGGAGTCTGAATGCAGATTAAAGCATATTATTTGCTCTTTTTTTTTAAATCTTTTTTCTTGTGCTTCCTCCCATTGGTTCTAATTCTTCTTTACAATATAACTAATGTGAAAACAGGTTTAATATCAATGTATATGTACATGCTATATCAAATTGCATGCCATCTTGGGGTGGAAGGAGGGGAGGGGTGGGGAGAAAATTTGGGACTTAAAATCTTATGGAAGTAAACGTTGAAAACCAAAGTTAAATAAATTTTTTTTAAAATTGCCTTCACTTCCTTCAGCTTATCATCAATTCTTCCCAAATTTTCTCTCCAAAATTCAACCTCTAGTTTTCTTCTAAAATCTTTCAAATCATTTCTACAAACATTTGTCTCTTTTCAGCTCCTGTCCCTCTTTTTGTTCTTTCTCCAAAAAATCCAGAAGAAGAACTGATAAGTTAAATAGTATCTAGAAGAGGGTAATCAAGATGGTGAAGAGCCACTGGTTCATGCAATACAAGTATGGGTTGAAGGAACCTGGCATGCTTGGTACTGAGAAGAAATTATTAAGTAATACCTAGTAACTATCTCTAATTCTCAGAAAAGAGATTAGACTTTTTTCTTGCTTAGACCTAGAAGGTAGAACTAGGATTAACTGATGGAGGCTGCAAAGAGGCAAATTTAAGTTGACATAAGAAAAAAAAACTTTGAGAGACCACATGACATAAGAGAGATAACATATACCAGAATCTGAAAAAGTAAGTTAAAATTCCATTTCTGACAGTAATTGATGGAGTGGCCCTAAGCAAGTCATAAAGCTATTATTATCTGTACAGCAGGTCATCTGGTATTCCCTGTAACAGTAAAATCTCAGGTCTGGGCCAACAAAGTCCCTCAGGCAAAGTAAGGATGACCACATGCTACAAAAGAGAGACTCTCTACAGATATAGGTTGGACTGGTGGCCACTGAGTTCCTTTCAAACTCTGAAATTCTGTGTCTATAAATCTAAGACAGGAGAACCCAAAGTGATACACTGAGAACTGTCTGTCATTACTAAAAAGGAGCTTACATTGCATGAAGAAATAAAGGGTAAGAGAGAGGAAGTTACTTGTCCAAGGTCATACACAGAGCTAGTATTAAATGGAAAAGTTAAGATTCAAACCTGGGTCCTCTGATCCAGATCCAACACTCACTATTATAACAAGCAGCCAGTAGCCAAATCTTTGTCTCCCAAAGTAAAACAGCATCTTCTGAGGCTGTCTCCATTTTTACCAAAAAGACTCATATCAGTATATGGAAAGAATATGTAGTCTAGAACAGTGGTGGTCAATAGAAAAAGAGAAATGGATCCCTGTAGGAGTATACTGTTTTAGAAAACCACAAATTAACATTATCTATGTTGTATTATATTTTTATTTATTTTATTAAACATTTCCCAATTACATTTTAATCTAAACTTTCACGTGAAGGTTTAGAGTTTTGCCTATGTTCATGAGAGCCTTGAGTTCGACCAATCTATTCTAAAGCCCAATCTTATCAAAACAAAACAAAACAAAAAAAGTGAAGTGTGAAGTGTGCTATATGCTTTAACTGTGACAATTATTGAAGTATATAACACACATTTTACTTTTCTGTAACAGTTTACACTCAAAAGGTTAGTCACAAATGTCAAATCTACTGATGTACTTAACATTGTGACTTTGCTGAAAGAGGAAAAAATGTGATATACTTTGGCAAGAGAAGTGCTAAGATTATCATCATGATTTAAAAGTTCACTTCACAGACTTCCCCATAAGATTTGATGTGGTAAATCAACTTAATGAGCTTCAAGGAATATTATACTTAAAATTTCTGAGGTTCCTTAGGAATCATCCAGTTCAACCACTTCATTTACAATTACAGACTTGGAAGCCCTCATATGACAGACTGGGGGGAAGGGGGCGGCAAGGAGAATGGGAAAAAAAATTTGACCAGAGGCAAAGGATAAGAGTGAGTAAAGAAGAGAAGGGGGAAATGTTGCCCTGATAAAATTTTCTGCATGTTATTTTTATTGTTTATGTGTTTATGCACCCTTGAGTTCTTTATGCACCCTTGTATTTGGAGAAATATCCTAACCACTCCCTCCAATCAGGTTAATCTGGTTTTTCCTTAAAAATACTGAGTCATTCCTGGAGACTTGATTGGCTCAGGGGACTGAGGACTCAGACTGCTGACATCATCACTTCCCATAACCTGAGTACAAAACAGTCACAAGAAACTAGAAGGATCCTCAGATACTTGACTAGTAGATCAAGATGGGAATTTAATGTGGCTGAATTAATTGGAGCTGTTCTTAATGCCTATCCACACTGATTATCCTTCTCCAGTTAAGGGTAAGTAAATCTCTTTTCGATAACAGTGGAATCACCACTCATGTCTCATTTTGTTCCAATATCAAACCTGAACTACCAGGCGTCTGACCTCAGTCTGGGCCAGCCCAACCCAACTGGCATTGTCAACAAGATCCAAACACAGTGAGCTCCTTGAAGTGAGAAAAGAGCAGGACAAGGGAAGGTGAGCCCTTGAGATTGCTTTCAATGTTCCTGTGTTCCTTTTGGTGACATCTCTAGAAATAGAATTTACTTACCGAGGATGTAGTGAATAGGGCTAGACCTGAAGTCATGAAGACTGCAATTCAAATTCTACATTACTTATTAGCTATGTGACCCTCAATTTGTAAATCACTGAGAAGATCAAATTCTGTATTGTATTGGATTCCATTCTGTAATTGATTCTATTAAGTAACTGCCTGAGACATGTTTCTTTGCCTCTGAGTTAAGCTCAGAAGTTCAGTTTTCCCTCTGAGTTTGTTTAAAATTCCATTGTTCGGGGGCACCTAGGTGGCGCAGCGGGTAGAGCACCAACCCTGGATTCAGGAAGACCTGAGTTCAAATCCGGCCTCAGACACATAACACTTACTAGCTGTGTAACCCTGGGCAAGTCACTTAACCCCATTGCCCAGCCAAAAAAAAGAAAAAGAAAAATTCAATTGTTCTATAAGTCACTTAACTCAAAGAAATATGTTCTCTCTATACAACCTTGCATACACTGCGCAATTAAGTGAGATTTTTTTTTTATCCTACTAAAAAGCCCTACATTCAGAATGCAGGTGGGCACCAAAAAGTCTGTTACCTCTGTGCAACTAACCAGCAGATATCAAACTCTATCAATCAACCTTTCCTGACAGCAGGATGAAAGGAGGGGTTGTTGCTGGCTCCAATTATATTGTTTTGTTGCCTATGATACTTTAGACTTTGTCACCAATCATACTATCTGCCATCTGTGATGGTTCCTGTTCTTTGTTTTCCTATACTTCCCAAAACTACATGAGGATCATGTGAAGCTCCACCTCATGGCTTGCTGAGGAATCCAAGACCCATTTTGTTGTTGACTGCTAGTCTCACCAATAAAGTAAATATGCTCAGAACTTTATTGCTTCAGTTTACCTTAATTTTCAAACATAATAACTTGATCTCTCTAAGCCTCAGTCACTTCATCTATAAAATGAGAATAACAACAGCACCTACTTCCTCATCTGGGCAGCTAGGTGGCACAGCATCAGAGTACTGGACATGATGGCAGTAAGACTCATCTTCCTGAGTTCAAATCTGGCCTCAGACACTTACCAGCTGTATGACCCTGGGCAAATCACTTAACCCTCTTTGCCTCAGTTTCCTCATCTGTAAAATGAGCTGGAGAAGGAAATGGCAAATCACTGCAGTATTTTTGCCAAGAAAACCCCAAATAGGGTCATGAAGAGTTGGACATGACTGAAAAATGACTAAACAACGACTGCCTCATCACAAGAATAAAATGAAATATTTATAAAAAGCTTTGTACACCTTAAAGCACTATATAAATGCTAGTGATCAGCAATTATTGCTGTGAAACACTTCCTAATCCTGGAAAATTATAGAGTAAATTGCCTGTGATTATTCAACAAGAAGAAAATGGAAATGCGTCCTACATCCTTAAAAAACTGTCCTTGGATAGACAGAAGATAATTGTGGTAGACTGTTTTAGTTTTGCTGGGTACTCTAGGTTGGGAATTTAAACCTCCAAGGTCTATCTGAGGGGTAAGTCACTTCAGAACTTAGTTTACCTTTAAAGCAGTCTAGAGACACTGACAGAAGTCATATGGAGAAAGAAATGTTCCCCCTTCATTAGAAAATGAAAAACTCAGAAGAGGACTAGCTGTGCTCAGCCCTTGCTGAGCCCTGATACCTTTGTATTGCACTTGGTCACCATCACCCAGCTCCTTTACAGGGAGGATGGGGAGTGTCTCCTTGGAAAGGCCCCTCTCAGCTTTGAAGGAATCACATTTGTATAAACTGTTAGGTTTTGAATGGCTTTTTGGAAATGACAATGCAACTGAAGCAGCTATACTCAAGTCCTATGATTTTACACAGACATAGCCAGATACTGAAAGGTGGCAAGACAAACCTCAACTATGAGAGAATGCACATCAGGGATCCTCTGAAGAGAGCCCAGAGGAAATGGCTATTGTATGCACATGGGAAAGAAAGACAGACCAGGGATTTCTGGCATGCACATGTGTGTGTGTGTGTGTGTGTGTGTGTGTGTGTGTGTGTGTGTGTGTGTGGTTTTGTATCCTTTCCCCAGAGGAGCAGGGTATAGTTATTTCCCACCAACACCAGGAATTTACCACATGAAAATAATCAAACACATATTCCCTCACAACAATCATCTTGGGCTAATTACTCCCACTTTATTTTCTTCCTAAACTTCTGGAGTCACAGAACTTGAATTATTTTCATTCACACTAAACTACTGTACACCTTCCTTTCCATTTCTACATTCTCTCTCTCGTTATCCAAAAGCAACAGTGGCCCTCTACCTTTGGTTGTTTCATTCAAGTACATATTAAGTACTTACTACATGAATAGCAGTATGCAAAGTTATAAGAGGACTGTAAAACAAATATAAGACACAATTCTATAGTCCATGGACTACTTGGACTACCACCCCAAACTTTATCACCAGCATTGTGGTAACAATGATTACTGGTTGAGTCATATCTAAAACACTGTACTTCTGACTTATTCTGAACTTTAAGAGTAACAGCTCAACGGGTAATTTTAAACCTACTATTCCATTGTGTCTTTTAAAACAAAAATTTATATAGTACCTGAAAGACATGACTGAAGACCTATGAGAATCTGATTAGCCATAAATAAAGTATATAATATGTAGCACTCAATGCAACTCAGAAACCATAAACACAAATTGTCTTACCTGCATCAGCTCTGGATCGCTGACCTGCTGTTTTTCCAAATGGGGTCTTCATTCATCTGTGTTTAAGTGAGCAGCAAAGCTGCCAGACTAGGGTGAAAATCTAATACTTTAATTTTTTTCTCCTGAATTTCAATGTTCTTGTTAATCCACCATCCAAGCGTGAATTTCTTCTTCAAGCTCAGAAGAAATACTTGAAATTATAATACTCTGTAAAACAATGAAAGAACAATTCATTACCCAGGAACAAAGAGAAAAAGCAAAAATAAGACAAATAATCAAAAAAATATATATAAGATCAAATTTAAAATAAAATTATATGAATTATTTCCTAAAGCACAATTTCCAGGTTTTTCCAGAAATACTCCTAACCCTCCAGAACCTAGGGGCATGGGGTGAAATAAGCAGCGTATAGTGTGCAGACATATTTCATTTTATTGCACTTCACAGGTACTTGTGTGTTTTAAAACAAACTGAAGGTATGTGGCAACCTTGCAAGTCTATCAGCACCATTTCATGTACTCACATCATGTCTCCGTAACATTTTGATAATTCTCACATTACAAATTTTTCATTATTATATCTTTTAAGTGATATGTGATAAATGATCTTTGATGTTACAATTCTAATTTTTTTGGGGCACCACAAACCCATATAAGGTGAGGAACTTAATAAATGTTGTAGGTTTTCTGACTGCTCCACTAACCAGCCATTCCCCCTTAACCAGCTGTTCCCCTGTTTCTCTCCCTCTTGGCAGGCCACTCTATTCCCTCAGACACAACAATATTGAAGAAGAATATTACATAAACTTAGTTGATAAAGCAGCAGCAGGGTTTGAGAGGATTGACTCCAATTTTGAAAGAAGTTCTACTGTGGGTAAAATGCTATCAAACTTTTTAGTTGAGTCTTTGGGATTTTCCAAGTATATCTTCATATTGTCTGCAAAAAGAGATGTCTTATTACTTCATTCCCTATTCTGACTCCTTCTATGTCTTTTTCTTCTCTTGTTGCTGATTTCCAATACAATATTGAATAATAATGGTGACAGTAGGCATCCTTGTTTTATACCTGATCTTACTGGGAAGGCTTCTAACTTATCTCCATTATGAATAATCCCTGCTGATGGTTTCAGGTAAATTTTTTTTTTTAAACAAATTAAAGGAAAAATCCATTTATACCAATACTTTCAAGTGTTTTTTTTTTTTAACAGAAATAGGCTCTGTACTTTATCAAAAGCTTTTTCTGCATCTACTGATAAAATTGTTTTCCTTGTATTAAACAATCCCTACATTCCTGATATAAATCCCACCTGATTATAACATTTAATCTTTGTAATATACTGTTGTAATCTCTTAGCTAGTATTTTATTTAGGATTTTTGCATCCATATTCATTAATGAAAGTGGTCTATAATTTTCTTTCTCTGTTTTCACTCTTCCTAGTTTAGGTGTTAGTATTATATTTGTTTCATAAAAGGAGTTTGGTAGGATCCCTTCTTTGCCTATTATTCCAAATAACTGATTTATTAGAATTAGTTGATCTTTAAATGTTTGATAGAATTCACTTGTAAATCCATCTAGTCCTGGTGCTTTTTCCTTAGGAAGCTCATTTATGGTCTGTTCAATTTCTTTTTCTAAAATAGGTCTATTTAGATATCCTACATCTTCTTCTGTTAATCTAGGCATTTTATATTTTTGTAAATATTCTTCAATTTCACTTAAATTGCTAAAATTACTGACATATAATTGGGCAAAATAATTCATTATAACTGCTTGAATTTCATCTTCGTTAGTGGCATATTCACTCTTCTCATTTTTGATACTAGTGATTTGGCTCCACTCCAAGAAATGATTTCTGTTGTTTTTCCTCCTCAGTTTCAGGTGCAAATGCCAGAGACAACCCTGAACCCAGCAGTTAGAGCCAGAGCAACCTTAGGGGCAGGATTTCAATCAGAGTGGTACAAGCCAATCAACCTGCCCTGAGAAGCCAAGATTGAGTTCAAGGAGGGTTTTGCACTTAGAACTGGGACTGTGTTCTATAAGAATCAAGCTAAACTATAAATCTAATCCTCTTCCTCCCTCCAGAAACTAAAGTGGTACATGGGAAGATTATGTCTCCCACATTTGGGGGGAGTATCTATATTTGTGTTTCTATATTTGTTTCTATATTTGTGATTATAGCTTCTGAAGTAAATATTTCTGTGTAAAAAGGTTTGTTTTTTTTAAAATTAAGTCATGACAAGAGGAAAAGGAGAAACTCTCAGCTATATAATACTTTAAAATATCCAAGATTCATTTTTAAAGATAGTATAGGCCCTTTCTCCACTCTATTACAGGCTTAATGAGATGTTATATCTGAAAAAATTTGATAGGTGAGCCTCTCCTGATCTAAGCTGGTGAGCAAACATAGGACATAGTCTGATATTAAGCTTGATTGTACCCATCCATCATATATTCTAAAAAGGCATCAGCAGAATTTTTGCAAAGGCAGTTATAAAATATAACTGAAGAAATATAGATTTGTTTTCTAGCAAAATAGTGCTGATAGGACACTTCTTAAGTGACATCCCAAAATAACCTTACAATCCAGCTGCAAAGATAAAACAAAAAACAATTAAGCACTAAAATAAATGTCATGAGACAATAATTTATATCAAAGGTGTCAAATCCTGTGCTGCTTAAGCACTGCCCAAACCAGATGTAACTGAGAAATGTTTAACAAAATAAAAATAAAATCAAAAGAGATAATTGCTAATTTGTAGTTTTCTAAGTCAGTATTAGAGAACCCTTCCTATTTCAGTTTGACACCACTACTGAGCATTATTAATAGTTAATATGAATAGCACATACAATGAGTGCTAGAGGAGTTCAGAAGTTGGTAAAATCAGCTAGTTCTAAAATATGGATAGGATTCAGATAGGGTGAGAAGGTAAAAATATTTTAAAGGGGGGGGGAGGATTACATAATCAGTTTTGAGCTGAAAGATCCTAAGATCTCACCCAATGATTCTCAAAGTACGGTCCACAAACCACTGGGGATGTCCTAGATCCACATGTTCAAAATTACTTTCACAATGTATTAAGACATTATTTGCCTTTATCACTCTCATTCTTTCACATTTACACACTGGAGCTTTCCAGAGGCTATATGACCTATGAAAATAAAGATTGAGCTACAAACACGAATATGTTAATATCTTGTCTGCAGAATTATAATTTTGCTTTACAAATGAATGAATCTATAGATAAGGCTGGCCTTGCTGTTTTTCTTTTTTGTTGTTTTAACCTGGTATCAGCACCAACAAATCATGGAAGATCTTCATCTAAAAACATGCTTGGCAACAACACACAAGTGGTGTTGAAATATTAAAAGTGTTTAATAATTTTTTTTAACCTCATGGTCGGTCCCAGAACAACTCTGTTGATATCTGCAGTAATGGTGCAAATATAATGGTAGGTAAAACTTGCTGAGGCCTTAGCACCAATAAAGGGAGTGGCAGGCACCAGACTATATCACTAATGATGATAATATTCTTCACTGCCATGCACTCAATATAAATAAATGAATGAATGAATAAGTAGGTGAGTAAATAAGTAAATGAATGAACAGATAATTAAGTAAATAAATGAGCAAGCAAATTAATAATTTTTTTAAAAAGCTGGTTTCACTTAAGAATGCCCTTGATGAAGCAATATTAATTGTATTAAATACTGACTCTTGAGTACACATCTGTTCGATATTCTATTTAAAGAATTGAGAAGTATATATACAGTATTTATACTATGTACTGAAGTATTTATGTTCATATGTATGTATGGTTATCCTGAGAAAAAGCACTTAACATAACTGTTTGATTTTCAAGTTAAACTTTTTTTTTCATGGAACATACTTTTTATCTAAAAAAAATAAACCAAAACCATGGTGACTCAGATGTGGGTATCTGACAGATATTTTCACAAAAAATTAACAAAAATAAGCTTGTCACTTCAAGTGAAAATTAAAATTTTGGAAAACTTTTATCTGCCACCAGTGAGTTTGTTAAGTTTCAATACGCAAAGATACTTCTATTGAGATCAGTGCAGCTATTAATGAATGTGATTTTTTTTGGTATCATATAACAAAATGTCTAAATGTGGAAATTTGTATAACTCAATGCTTTCCAAATGATCAGTGTGTATGACATTATAAAACCATGCCTGGGTAAAAGATTCATTCACGTGCAAGATAAATCAATGGATTTTACTCTAACAATGCAAAAAAGTCACTGACATAATTTCAGATTTCATACTGGAATTAACCTTTCAGAAACTACCACTTGTCAAGTTTCAATCTCATATCAAAGAAGACTATCCATAATCATCTGAAAAAGCTATTAAAATACTCCTCACTTTCCAACTACATTATCCATATGAGACTAGATTTTGTTCTTAACACTTCAACCAAACCAATATATTGCAATGGACCAAATACAGAAGCAGATATGAGAATCCAACTGTCTTCTAGACATCTGAGATTTGAAAAATGTAAAGCAATGCCACTTTTCTCACCAATTTTTTTTTTGCTTTGGAAAAATTATTTCCACTAAAAAATGTTATTTACATTAACATGTAATGGGTTTTTTAATTTTAAATTAAAATAATAAATTAAATTAATAATAAAATAATACTTTAGAATTTTACCAAAGTTTAATAAATAAAAGCTCTTTGATTTCCTCAATAATTTTTAAGAGTATAAATGGTTCCTAAAACTGCAACACTTGAGAACTAATCTAGCCCAGTCCTTTCAAATTAGAGGTGAGCAAACTGAATCCAAAAAGGTAAACGACTAGTTTTAGGTCACACTGGTAGTATAGGGCAACAGGCATTCATGCCCCAGGTCTTCTGACTTGAAATGCAGAACTCTTTAAAGAAATGGTTATCTCAGAGAGATAAATGCTATAGGTGTGCAAAGCATTGCATATACTGTCAGTCACCTGGTTTTGCTTAGCTGTTTTTCCCCAGTTATGAAACCTCATGGAGGGTGGGGAGGATAGGAGCAGATGGATATATGAAAATACTATGATGCTGAAACAAAGGCATCCATAAAAGTTACTTATAAAAAAGTGTGACACAGGAAAAGAACATATACATACACTAACTTGCTTCTTGTTCAGCTCATTTTACAAATTATTGGGAACTGGGGCAAACAGGGCTAAATGACTTGCCCCAGGGTC